CAATGTCTTCTCATATCAGACCACGTGTCGTTCTCTAGAGTATCACTTCTTAGTTAAACAGTTGCATCAGAGAAGACACTTGAATATGGATACAACTCAAAAACATTAAAACTTCCGTTTTATTTCTTGCTGATGATGGCGATGATGATGGTGATGCTGCTGTCGATGAGGAAGATCATGAAGATGGTGATAATGATAACGATGTGATGATGATGATGGCGATGGTGATGATAATGACGATGTGATGATCATGGCGATGGTGATAATGATAACGATGGTGATGATGAAGACGATGGTGATGATGGTGATGATGGTGATGATGACGATCGATGATGATGGCGATGATGATGACGATGGTGATGATGACGTCGATGATGATAATGATGATGATGGTGATTATGATAGTGATGATGGTGATGATGACGATCGATGATGATGGCGATGATGGTGACGATGGTGATGATGACGATGGTGATGATAATRATGACGATGGTGACGATGATGATACCACTCCCCCGCACTTACCTAAATTCTGGAAGGTCTGGGTTGTCGTTGTCTTAGACAAGGATTTTTCCTCCATTGTCATCTTGTTTTGATCTCTTCCTCTCAGACGAATAACAGCCTTGCCGTAACGTACTTTATACCCTAGTACGTCACTAGCGGATGTCCTCCATCCCAGTATAATCACAGAGGGGTTACCGGGGGATTTCTGCGTGTAAACGAAAGGAGCATCGGGTAGACGGGGCAACGTCTTGGCAAGCTTGGTGGCACTTCTGGCACCATCGCCTTTAATCGTGTACCCAGCTACTTCTATCTGGTACGTTGTCTCTGGTGCGAGGTTTGTGAGGTATACTTTCTGTTTTGTACAATGAAAAATGAAGCACTGTTAATATTGTATTCATCATCATCACATCATCACATCATCAACTTCAATACCATCRTCATCATCATCATCAACGTCTTCAGCATCATGATAATTACCATGGCCACGATCAACGTCATCATCCACGTTTATACCATCATCATCAACATCTTCAGCAGGACCATCAGCCACCATTGCCACAAATAACATCATCATCATCAACGTCAATACCATYATTATTATCACCGACATCTTCAGCATCACCATCATTACCATCATCAACCTCATCACCATCACCATCACCACCTAAAACCACTATCATCCTCCTCCTCAAAACCTTCATCATCATCATCATCATACTAAAAATAGACGTACCAGGTTGGTTTCTGATTCAGAATCTTTCATGTCAACGGGAGCTGCAGGCTTGAGTTGGTTCCCCAAGTCATCAACCTTGGTATAAAACACCATGTAACCCTTTATTTTGCCATCCTGTTGCGCTGAGGTGGGTGGTGACCACGAGACTTCAATACAAGACGAGTTTAACACAGCAGCCTTGAGCTGGGTTGGAGCACCACTTGGTACTGAGGAACACGARGTAAACATTAATATTTGAAAAAGGTGATGTTGTTGTGTTGATGATGATGTTGATGATAATCATGATGATGATGTTGGTGATGATGATGATATTCATGACGATGTTGTTAATGATGATGATGATGATKATGATGGAGATAATGCTAAAGCTACTGTTGATGACATTGTGGTTATGATGATGATGATGTTGTTAATGATGCTGCTGCTGCTTAGTTAGCTGTTGATGTTGTTCATGATGACGATGATGGAGATAATGATTATGGATATAATGCAAAAGCTACTGTTGATGACATTGTGGATGATGGGAATGATAATAATGATGTTAATGACGCTGCTGCTGCTTAGTTAGATGTTGATGTTGTTGATTTTGTTGCTGATGATGATGATGGAGATAATGTTCATGCTACTGTTGATGATAATGATGGTTAATAATGGATAATGATAGTTATGATGATGAGGGTGATGACGATGTAGGTGCAGTTGCAATTGATGTTCTTGCTCACCATCCTCAGCAGTAGAGAAGACATGTTTATTGCTCATCGGTCCTTCCCCTTCCTTGGTGCTGGCCGACACCCACACGAAGTATTTCGTAAACTTTTTCAGGTTATGCAGAACCACACTAGTCTTGATACCATCCACCGTCATGTACTTGGGTCTTCCTCCTCCTTTATCCTTATACTTGATGGTGTAATCAGTGATGATCCCGTTACGATTAATTGGYAATGGTGGGTCCCACTTGATTTCTAAGGTGGTCGAATCTTTGCTCTTTCCAATGATATTACGTGGAGCACCACTCGGGACTAATAAAACAAGACAATGCAAGAAAAAATATAAGACATTTACTGTAATAGGGGCATAGCCCAATAACAGCAATTGCGTGATAGCATGAATCGTATAGAAGATTTAAATTGCCTGACGCAGCCTCAAGATGACGGCGTGAATGATTCTTTTTTATTYAATTGAACATGCCGTCTTTGGGAAGCACGAATGGTATGCGCTGCTAATGCGCTGTCTTTCACCACTGTGGTCCTGAGTTTAGTCCCTAAACCCGCCATCCTGTGGGATTAGAGTTGCTTATATAAATAATAGCTTTCAATCATATTTAAACCCTTACCATCTTCCTTTGTTCGTGCGGTGACGGCAAAAGACATCGGTCCAATTCCTTTGTCTGATTTCGCAGCTACTCCAAATTTGTACAYGGTGTAGGGCGTGAGACCCATAATGTTCTTGCTCAGTCCATTAGCCGCACCAACATTGGTGTCCATGTCTTTTGAACTCTTGTTGTAATAAACTTCATATCCAAAGATTCCGTCACCTGGATCTTGAGGCTTTTGCCAAGATATTTTGACGGAGGTTGATGAAACTACTCTCAGTCGTACGCTGTGTGGTTGGCCTGGCACTGAAACAAGAAAGGATACGAAAAGTTAATTCTAGGTACTTATCCCTTTCAATTATCTATGTTTTTTTAAAATTTTCTTACAACTTTCTTACAATTTTTAGACTATTATTATTATTATTATTATTATTATTATTATTATTATTATTATTATTA